CCACCTGACAACCGTACATTATGCATTCCTTGCTCCTCGCGCGGATCCAGATGCATTGACCAGAGAACTGAACATGCAAGCGCTACTCTGGAGGACAGGAAAACCTTGAGAGATAGAGTTGCACGGCTGGAGTCACTTCTTGAAAATGCACTTCAAGGACAGCAAGGAGGCAATTCCATGAATCTTAAGGAAGATGCGCCAGGTGCTGCAGCTGAGTCCGCTGATTCCGCTGAGACGGACGACAGCGAGGATGAGCTTGATGACGAGCCTACATCGGTTCCTTATATGTCTGCCCTTAATGATTCCATGGTAACTAAGATCGTCCAATGAATGGTGAATATCGCTCATGAAAATAGGGCAGTCTGGATGTAGAGGACAACCTTATTAAAAACAACCCGCATTTTGCCAACGCCAGGACTTCCCCGGGATTGTCACAAATTCATGAGATGAAAAACCATCATCAAAAAGATACTGCCCTATCTTCCACGGAAAGCGGAATATCTAAGAAGAAAACCAGCCAGGCTCGAGTGTGCGAGGAACTGCGGTCATCACTTCCTAAATATGACGAGATGATGGAAGTATGTATACAGCGGGGCTCCTGGTGGTCATATTGGCGGGAGAAAACCTACGGTGATCTGAAGCCCGTCGAGTCACTCTCTCAATACGCATCTCGGGTTTTTGTTAACGGAACGATTTGGGAACTCGGGACATTAGTTTCTGCATTTGGCTTAAGTACCGAGACCAAAAAATCCTACTACCTTGCCATTGTAGAAAGATTACTCATCTCCGATGACCAGTACGCTGCCACATTGCCAGGGATTGAATGCATTCTACTTCAAGGGAAGTGCTACCTCGACGTTGGTCAGCCTAGAAAAGCGTGGCTCATGTACCGTCGAGGTCTTACTGTAGCCCAGCTCTTGGTCAGTGTCCCTATCTTTCAAACAGGGTCTTACTGACTTTCCATTCGAATAGAATCTACATCGGAATCATTCGAAATCTGTCTTGACGGACAATCTATTCTGGGCACTATATCAAGCGGAGCGGTTCATAAGCATGCTACTAAACTTACCCTACAGCGTTAGCAATAGTCATTGCAATATGGGGCAACATCCCAACAGCAACACCAAAGGCGCCGGAGTGCCATTGCGACCCTTGATTATAAGATGCGGTATAGTGGCAGGAAAAATCGTTGATCGCAATCAATCGAATCTGGGAAAGTCACCATCACGAACAATTGAAATTGACGATGAGATGCAGATTATGGCGGATGCGATGCCACCAGGTTGGTGGAATCATCCATCTGGGTCAGATCCTTCTGAAGACATGGCACAGATTCGCCAAAGACTCTTACTCCAAGTATGTTTCTACCTCATTAGAGTGCATCTAAACCTCCCTTTTCTCCCCGAGACACAGCCAAATCTGGATGCGCGCAGTAACCGCTGCAGGACATCCTGTATAGAGTCCGCTCGCATGTTGGTACAGCGTTACAACGTACTTCGTACAGTAGTAGATGGAAAACCGATATTGGATGACAACACCAACGACTTCATTGGCTTCACCATAGCCGTCATCCTGCTCATCGGCGCATCTCGGACAAGCAGCTCGCCGTATCTTGCCGCACAAGCAGAAGAAGATTGGTCGTTGGTAGAAAAAACAAGAGTGATTTTCAAGGACCTCTCGCGATGCACACCTTCCAGCAAACTGTACAAGCAGGCCCACCGCGCTCTCGACAAACTCATGTCCAGCCAAGCCGCAGATGGCAAAGACACGAAAGTCTTCATCCCCCACCTCGGCACGGTGCAAATCCGACCTGATCGCAGACCACAGAAGCCATCAGGCTACTCACCTAGCGGCACTCTATCCTACCAACGTGCCCGCCCTGCAGCAATTCTCAGGAGCAACGCGTCGTCTAACTCGAGCGTGTCGTATCCGAACGAAGGCACTGCGTACGAGCAGAGCAATCGACTGGACTACGAAGCGCCAGCCATGCAGCACGGCGAGTTCTCGTTTGCGGATCCGCAGCATCAGATAGGTGGCAATAGTCTGTTTTACGACGCGGCGAATTTCGGCACGTATGCTGGGGGTCCGGATCCGTTTACGTGGATGGATGAGAGTGTGCCGATGATGGATATTGATCAGGATTGGACGTGGATGGAACAGTTTTAGATGCGCTGGGTGTTTGCGTGGGGTTGAAGGGTATTTTGGATGGAGTATGGGGTATAAAAGATTTAATTATGGGTAGAGTTTAGATGATAGATCGACATAACTTTTCTTTTAATTCTTTAGGCGATATCGATCTAGCAATAGAGATTCGCCTGTCCCTGCTCTCAACATATTCCCAATATTATACTACACGAACCCTTATGCCTAAGGTACTAGCTTCTAATCTAACCTGTCTTTTAGTTTATCTTCATGGTCCCTGTATAGTATATAGTCTGTTATATGTTTATGTTTATGTATAATTAAGACGTGCTAGAATCAAAAGGGTAGTAAGAACGTGTAGGATATGCTAGCGTTTTATATTTATAGCGTGGTTTGGAAACTACATAACGTTTAATTTGCTATTTATTCAGAAGTCGATCTAATGTGTTATATAAGAGAGATATATATAATAACTAATAAAGGTGATAGAAATACTTTCCCGTTTTCTGATCTCATGTACAGTCCAGCTAGATTTGTTTTATGAAATGAAAAACTATGAATAACAATATATTAGACGGCGAATTAGCTACTGGTTGCTGCTTTCGGCAGACTTCCATTGTTCGGCCCCTACACGCACCAAGCTAATAGCTCCCCCAGCAGTGATATTCCCACTGATATACTGCACCACGCCCCCATCACTAGAAACAAGCAGTTCCCGGCCCTCCTGTCCCTTCGCCCACACCGCCGCCGTGGCCCCCGAGAGCGCCGTACTACCAGGCGCACCGACCAAAGTGACCGCGACCGTGCTATTAGCCTTCGCGCTCACAAACGCGAGACCAGAGCCCCCGGCTCCGACTGTGAAAACGTCGCCGTTAGAATCATCGACGATGAAATCGTCGACTAGAGTCTGCAATGCGACGATCTCTGGGTTTCCTAGAGGCGTGGCATGGTCATCGCGTCCTGGAACCCGCATCCGGGCTACGAGCTCTTGGTTCGTGTTGCTGAAGTAGAGGTGGCCGCGGGAGAATTTGAGGCCGTTGATGCAGGCTTGGAGACTAGTGCCGGAGGGTTTGAGGAGCGGGTCGTCGAGGTAGGTAGTTAGGGTGAGGTTCTCGGTGTCGAAGCGGTAGATGACGCCGCGGATGGATTCGGCGATCAGGAGATAGGGTGTGTCTGGGATGGTGATGATGCCGTTCGGCATGGTGAGAGAGGGGAGGGTTGCGAGTTGAGTGACGATGGGTTTGTCGGAGCATTTGTCGAAGGCGATACGGTGGATGGCGTGGGAGCCAGCGATGACGCTGAAGTTTGCAAAGGAGAAGTTGCCTGTTATGGCGAAGTAGGTGTCTGGAGTCGAGGACGAGGCGATGCTTGAGACGCCTGTGGAGTTCGAGAAGGTGTGGATGAGCTTTGGGGTGGAGTTTGCTGAGATGGGTATATCAAAGATGTTGGGGGCGGAGTATTCAATGGCTAGGACTGAACCAGAAGGCCGGACGACGAGGTTTTCAATCCAAGTTCCTTTTGGAAACTGGTGGATGACTTCCACTGGATGGTTTGGAGAAGTTTTATTTCAAGACAAGGTAGTGATTGGACTTGCGATACTGAGAATTGGAAGAATGGCTAGGAGCCATAAGGTGGTAGTAGAGGAAAACATTGTAACTTGTTTTTAAAAGAGCAAGAAGTTTTTGGTATATATAAAAACAGATCTTGAGGTAGAGAATGAAGTTTTTGAATGCTGTGATAGAGTTTGATTGAAAGGAAACTGACCTGGTTATATATGTCCATCTTGAGCTTCATAGACCCCGCGCCCACTGCCCCAACTACGAACTGCAGGCATGATTCAAAGCCTTGCTTTTGGATCCTCAATACCAAAGCTTGTCGGTATAAAGTAGGCTTCGCGAGTTGTGCGAGGCTAAAACCAAACACTTTAAACTTGTTCCTGTCGCTTGCAGGGTACAAATAGAGTTAGTTTCCTTGACATGGAGTGGACAACTCGCGTCGCTAAACCGAATAAGGAAATCTGACCAGAAATGAGATACTCCTTATTCCTACTGCGCCGTACAAATTAATTGACCTTTGGAATTATGATACGGTACTATGACAGACTATCATAAGCATGTCCATCGCGGCCCTATGCAAGCCCCGGGGCCTTGACCATATAGTTGCTAGCTAATATGTCTATACATATATGAGAGATAGAGGGCTATAGGGGAAGGTGCTAACGTTATTTAGTTACTTAGGGGGCTCCTCGTAGAGAGAAAAGCTATAATAAGTATTTCTAAAATCTTAAATCTTGACTAATTTTATGAAGAAATTAGCAGTGAGAAAAGTAATAAAAGAAAAACAGAGAGTGAAAAGTTACCATCAAAAAGGTAGTATTATCAATCACAATAATCGCAAGAGCATAACATTAGGGGGGGGGGGGAGGAATCTTGAAGATATATACAGACTTTAGAAGACGACCTCATAAATAAGGTGTTCTCGGCTGCATGCCTCGGAATTGTATTGCGACACTTGGTCAACTTGAGCGAAAGAGTTGCGAGGCTCGATATTGCATCCGACCTCTTTTGAAAGAGCTTGCGTACCATATCACCCAGGAAATATTATCTTTCCTATTTCGAGCGTTGCATTCGCAAAACTCGTCGCGGATAGGGAGATTGGGGGTTACACTGCAGGACCCCCGCACCTGTAATTGACAAATGTAACCATCTTTGAGATATATATAATGGTAGACGACATCCAGTCTCGATTATTCGAGGGGCAGATATATCTTTTGACATTTCACTCTATATCTTCATTTGTAAGGTCGGAAGAGTTCTAGAAGGTTGAGTACTACTCTTCATATCTGACCTTTAACCGAAATGGACCTAGAACATATTGATATCGTTGTCGTCGGGGCTGGTACACGCTCTCTCCTTTCGTTTCCTGGCAATGGACCTAACGAGAAACAGGGGTATTCGGTCTTACAGTGGTGAAGACATACCTTGAAGTACATCCGAACGCTTCAATCACCATCCTCGAGTCAAGCAACTCATTAGGTGGAACATGGGCGTCCGATCGCCTCTACCCTGAGCTGAGAACCAACAGCCTCTTAGGCGCATATGAGAACCCTGACTTCCCAATGACGCCAGGAGTTTTCGATATCAAGCCCAGGGACCATGTACCTGGAGCTGTAATGCACGAATATCTCGTCCAGTTCGCAAAGACATTCGGCGTACTTGAGAATATCCAGTTCGATACCAAGGTCGAAGAGGTTGAGCAGAATGCTGATGATCGATGGATCATCAGTGTGACCAGGCTCGAAAATGGCGAGCAGAAGAGCAAGCAGATAGTTGCAGACAAGCTCATTCTGGCAACTGGGTTGACAGGGAATCCAAATATGCCTCAAATATCCGGAGCATCTAATTTCGATGGCCCCATATATCACTCAAGGGAATTTGCACAGAACAAAGGCCTCTTGAAGACTGCCAAGAACGTCGTAGTATATGGGGCTTCAAAATCGGGTTGGGATGCTGTATATGCGTATGCCAGTGCAGGCGTGCAAGTTGAATGGGTGATGCGTGAATCAGGACGCGGTCCCGGATGGATGACGCCAATGTGGGTTATGGGAGGAAAGCGACTTGAGTACTTGGCCTTTACTCGTTACTTGACTTGGTTCAATCCTATGATTTGGGGATCTAACGATGGCTATGGATTCTGGAAAAGAATTCTTCATGGCAATTTCGTTGGCCGCTGGATCGTGAACAAGTTCTGGCGCTTGCTGGAAAAGAAATATTGGACTTGAATAAGTTCGATAGCCATCGTGAGATGGGAAAGCTAAAGCCTTGGTCGGGTTCCTTTTGGTCGGGTACTAATTTTAGTATTCACAACTACCCTACAGATTTCTATGAACATGTCAGAAAGGGTACGGTTCGAGTTTATCATGGGGATATTGCAAGCCTCTCTTCACATACCGTCCATTTATCGACGGGCGAAACGTTGAAAGGCGATGCTCTGCACTGCTCCACGGGCTGGAAGCACATGCCATCAATCAAGTTCTCACCACCATCTCTTGCCATAGAACTCGGTCTTCCTAGCGACGATGGTCGATCTAGCAACGACTATATCTCGAAAATCGACGCTGAGATCATGTCTCGTTTTCCTGTTTTAAAAGATCAACCCAACATGACACCAAAGAGAGACCCGGGGAAAATCCCAGTTCAAGACAAGTCAGCGCCGTACCGCCTTTACCGATGCATGATCCCCCCAGCCCGTGCAAATACTCGCAAGTTCGCAGTGGCTGGTGCAATTCTTACTTTTCAACACCCGGCCGTTGCGCAAATCCAAGCGTTGTGGATATTAGCTTACCTTGACGGTATACTTCCAGTTGAAGATTCGATAGAAGAATTAAAGTACGAAACAGAGAAATTTGCCCGTTTTGGGCACTGGAGGTCCCCGGGAGGATATGGAAGAAAGTTTCCAGATCTTGCGTTTGAAACCATACCGTATATCGATGATCTTCTGGGGGATCTGGGGTTGAAGTTCAAGAGAAAGGATGGTTGGCTGAAGGAAATAACTGAACCATATTTGCCAGGGGATTATAAAGGCATTGTGAGGGAGTGGGCTGAGATACGCAAAGAACAAGAGAGAACGGAAGGGCTGGTGGAGGGTTAAAGAGAGGCCAGGCCTTACCTGACCTGAAGGCTCCATTATTGCAGGTCCCAAGATGGTGGTACTATACTTACGCTCGAGGCATGAGGGATGTTTCATTGATTGCCCATTTCAGAAGCAGAATTCGAGTCTAGGTTTCGTCCTTATATGAATCAGTCACTGTGTCGGCTCTTCCACTGCTTCCAATATTCTTTCTAGACGTGACCTGTATATATCCTGTGGATTGAAAATAGAACAAGGTAGCAACACGGTTGAAGTGGCATGAACAGAAACCTAGCTACATGAGAAAGAACAAAGTAATTCATAGATAGATAGAAGTAGCGGTTCGGTGTGGTGGTTCGTAGTGGAATCTAATATGATTGACAACTATCCTGATTAGGACTACCCCCGCGGCCGCATCTTCCGACCGCCGATAGAAAGTTTCGCTGAAGTTATACTTGTATATTGCTCTTTAAACTACCTACATAAGACAAAGGCTGGGCTCTATGTCCGCCAAAAATTTCTGGAGAATGACCCAGGGCAAGGTAATGGAAGGCGTCTTTGGTACCTCTCCCCCACATACCCTCACCAAGCAGAAAGAGAAACTAACGAAGCCCAGCTATCAACAAGCCCAAGGGCCTCTCCTCAGCCCAAGTCCTCCGCGACCTACAAAAGCACTTCAACCCATCCACGCTCTTCGCACCCTGGATCTCTGTCGAGAAAACCAATCGCGACCGCGAGAAGCACAACCAGCGCCGGCGCCGCCGAGAAAAGGATATACAAGTGAAGATCGGGCATGGAGGCACGCTCGATCCGTTAGCGACCGGTGTGCTGATTGCAGGAGTTGGCAAGGGCACAAAGTCGCTACAGGATTTCCTATCATGCACGAAGCAGTACGAAACCATTGTGTTATTCGGCGCGAGTACAGACACGTATGACCGGGTTGGCAAAGTGCTCAGGACAGCGCCATACGAGCATGTCACGCGAGAAGTAGTCGAGGCCGCGCTGGGGCAGTTTAGGGGCAAGTTCATGCAGCTGCCGCCGCTGTTCTCGGCGCTCAAGATGAACGGGAAGCCGCTGTATGAGTATGCGAGGGAGGGCAAGCCGATACCGAGGGAGATTGAGAGGAGGCCGGTTGAGGTGCTGGAGTTGGAGTTGGTGGAATGGATGGAGCCGGGTACACATACGCATCAAGCGCCTTCGGAGACTGGAAGCGACACTGAGATCAAATTCGCGAATACGATTTGGTCGCAGGAGAAGGTCTTACCAGGAGGTAGCTCTCCAAAAGGAGTAAAGAAAGAGGATGCAGAAGTGAAAGAGGAAATCACAGGGACAGAAGACGTCCCAACCCGCAAACGCAAACTAAGCACCGAACAAGACGAGTTAATCCTCGAACGCCCGTCCTCCAAACACCAAAAATCGTCAGAAGAAGAAGCAAACAGTGCCACCATGTCCGGTGGTCTCGCAGCTCCCACAACCACAGACGCCGCACTATCCTCCACCCTGCCAGAAGAAGCACCAGAAAAATCAGTACCAGGTCCACCAGCAGCGCGCATCCGCATGAAAGTGACCTCCGGCTTCTACGTCCGCTCCCTCGCGCACGACCTAGGCGCCGCCGTCGGCTCCGCAGCCCTCATGGCAGAGCTAGAGCGCAGCAGACAAGGTGAATTTGAGGTCGGCAAGAACGTACTCGAGTACACTGATCTAGACAAGGGAGAAGAAGTCTGGGGCCCGAAAGTGGAAGCTATGCTCGATGCGTGGAACCACAAGCGGGGAGACGTGGAGGAAGGGAGATCGAGTGCGCCGAAGAAGGTGGAGACAGAGGCGAAGGTCGAGGCGGACTCTGTTATGGGCGAAGCGGTCCCAGAGGCAGTAAATGCGACTTCGTGAGATGAAGGATACAGGACGAGTATGTTGCGAATTCTCCATGAAATAAAATAAATAAAACTCCGAGAGAGGAGACAGCTGCTTATGCTGTTAAACAGCAACTTAGGATTCAAAATACGATAGTCCTCATACAGTAGCGTAGCTGCCTGCCATGCAGCTTGTACAATAGAAAATAAACTCCATAATCAAATCACATCAAATCCTCCTTTTCACATCACACCTCGCCTCGTCTCCGCTCCACTTCCACCTCCATATTTAAATCTCACTTTACAAATTCTCTCGTATCACATCATAAACTCAACTACCTCCTCCCTCTATAAAAGAGAATAAAGAAGGAAAAGAGGAGGTGATTCATACAGGGGATGGATAGTGAGACAATCAGTCACTGCTAGAAGTCTCTTGAATGATAAAAATAATCGCCATCAAAATTTGGATCATTTCGGGTTGACGACATCTATTCTGCTTCTGTGTCAAAACTACCTAAGGCTATATATGTTGTCCCTTCTTCAACTGCATATTACTTTCAGGAATATGCATAGTGCATGAGATCTTGCCAGACCTCGGACGTGCATAGATAGATATACTAAGTACTAACGGCAGCGTAGCCCAGCCTAATAGTGCCGCCCAACCCCAATCTTCCCCTATCGTCTCTCCGCAAGATACGCCTTCGCACCATCCCAAGCCTGCTTATCGGCCTCACCAATTTCGTCTCCAAGCGTTTTCACGCCCTCGTAAACTGCATCGAAGAATTTGAATGCGACATCAAGATCCTCCACAAAGTTCACACTGTTAGGGAGGTACTTCTCCTTATATTCTTGCTTGTTTTGCTCTCGCTTCTCGGCTGGAATGTCGAGCTTCACGAAATCGTCGAGGTAGGTTTTGACGGCAATGCCAAGGGCGATGTCAACATCGGCTGAGAATGGTAGACTATGAAAATTTAGTGGTAAGCTTCAGTATGAATAAGATGTCCTACCTTTGACCTAGCTCGGCCCAATCCTTACGATCCGGTGTTCGGGAAGCCTGCCCGCTGAGGAACATGGATGCGATCACCGCCTCTACTAAATCTCTGTCGGCCTCACGAATGGCTTTGATAATTGAATGGTAGGCAAGGAGGTTTAAGCTCAGAGGGCCAGTGTAGCCAATACTCTTATGTCGAAGTTTGAGAAGGCAAGAAGTTCGACCGATAAGAATACACTTCTCTTTGTCCTCATCTGTACCTCGCAATGGCCCACCAATCAAATCGGGGCGGCGGTGGCGAGAGTTAAGGTTGTCGAATTGTAGGAGCTCAAACGCAAGAAAAGCTGCTTCCTCGACGTGGTGAACATCATCGTACTTCTTGATGGTGGGACCAAGAGCCTTGAGGGTCGTTGCAAGAGCTTTTCCCCAATTAGTCAGTTCGTGCTTGTCATTAACATAGCCCCTAAGATGGAGGAGTCGCCATAAGGCGCTGGACAGAACTTCTGGTTTAGATTTGAGACTGTTCCTGCCTTTGTCTTTGAGAATAGACTTGACAGCAAACTCTTTTTGCTGCAGGGAAAGAACTGCGAATGAAAGTTGGCCAGCTTTCAATCCAAGGGCGGTTTCTTGCGGCTTCAAATCGGGGTCCTTGACTCCCCAGGTATCCGCCTTATCGGTTGTAATAGGAATCATACTGCGAGGATTAAGAGTTTGTTGGGCGCTATCGTCGAACCAATACTTTAGCGTGATAGTCTTGTGTTGGAAGACTCGATGAAGTCGAGGCACGATCAAGGCAGCTGTGATCTCTTTCAAAGGCACCAATGACCTGGTAACCAGTCTTCGATACTCATCAGATGAAACGCCATCGAGAGTTGGGAACACTAGGGTCTCGAAAAACAAGAATTGGTCCAGAAGTCTGTGTCCAATCAAAGCTTGTGAGAGGTAATAGTACAATTCGGCCGGCAGTCGCAAACCGAGGTATTCCTGATTGTCGCCGGTGAGAACATCTGAATGCTTCACTTCGAGTTTGCCATCCTCGTGTACGATGCAACAATGCTTCACAAGCATCTTTGCTTTGCGATACTTGTCGAGCCATTTGGGATCTTCTTGCTGCAGAATATCGCTGAAAGCATTACAAGTGCTTGAGACGGACTTTTCACTTGTTCTTAGAAGATTGGCCGCATCTTTGATTGATGCAGGTTGTTTAGTAATAATTGAAACGTCTTTGAGCGGTGGAAATGGGGGCAAAAATGATGTTCCGACCATCAGCAAAGCGTCTGCAAGCATCTCAGGTGTGACTTTCAAGTGTTCCAAAATGTCGGATTTCAGAACCCCATAGATGAGTTTGTCATCCCAGTCATCGCCTGAAGGTGGAAATATAACCGCATCATGGATATCATAGAGCAGCAGCTCTTGCGAGCCCATAATAGCGTCGATGTAGTGAGTCTCAAGGGAGAGTAGGTATGCAAGCTAGAGGACATTAGTCACAGATCACACTACACACATCAGAAGCGTCTCACCTGAGCGCAAGCACTGAATGGAGCGATCTTGAAGTCTAGATTCCGCTCAAGGAGTACATCCTGGAGTATCTTGTACAGCTCTTGAGCTCGTATCGCCCCTACCAGATATTAGCAACCATGATCCAAGAAGCATTGGGCAAACCTTACCAGAAGCCCCGAATGTTTGAACAGCAATCTCAGGGTGAGTGTCGCCATAATATTTCCACGCCCTTGATGTCTGGTCAAGTCCTTGCTTCGCCTTGCGCAATGCGACTTCGTTCTTTCCAACGTTTGATTGACCATCGAACACAAAAACGGGTGTCATATTATTGCTCTTCCACCGATCTAATTCCTCACCAATTTGTTGCTTCAAGGTCAAAGGATCTCCACCGAGGGCGGCAAGGAGTGGTTCGTTGGCAGACCCGATGATCATTTGTTGTAGGTAGGCGGTGGCATCGACCCCAATAACAGAGTTCTTTAAATCAGCAATCTCCATCTTCCTAGAAACACGGTTAGAAGAGCTGGCAGACGTGACAGGGTAGTGATATACTTACACCTTGCGCTCAAGAATATAGGAATCGCCATTGCGTGCTGGTTTGGTACTCTGGTCAGTATCTCTCTGGTCGTAATAAGTCTCGTCTGTAGTAGCAGAAAGGACAGTCATGTTGGGTGAGAATGTCCCAGAAGCCGCATATTCCCAATCGTTGGAATCATCACGCTCGTACTGGGAAACAAAGCCAACAGAGCCGCCGGGACTCTGAAGGACCGTTTGGGGGTATTGGCTGGGAAAAAATTGCTGGATCTGCGGGGTGAACGGGAATAGCTCAGGGGTATAATAAACACTATCGGGCGAGAATATCTCCAAAGAGTCGAAGTATGGGTCATCCATGGTGTCGCAGTAACGAGACGGCAGAGGTGGATTGGAGTGGGATGGGTGAGTGAAGTATGAATGAGGACTTACGAGGCATGGCGGGCAGAGCTATTGTGGAAGGTACCCAAGGGATCTTTGGTATGTAAATCAGAGAAGCGCTTTCCAACAGCTTCGAACTTGAGTTTGTCGCAGTTTCCAATTGCGATCGTGTCGGGCTATCGAGGGAAGGAGGGAAGGGTAGTGTAGGGTGTTGCGTCGCAAAGCGTATTCTTGCAGCGAGAGGGAAGTCGCAACTGAAGCAAGGTGGGTGGGTGGTGTGTTCGGCTTGAGCAATGTGGTGGGGTATTAGATTTGAAGCAGTATTCGAGAGTAAATGGTTATGGTTGTGGGTATGGCTATGTTTATGGCAATTGGAAGATGTCGAAGTAGAAGTATGCGCGGTGTAAATGGGAGAGAGAGAAAAAGGCGGAAGTGATAAGTTCGCGTTCGCTGGCTTGAATATCGCACGAAGATGTTTAAAGATCGATCGTCTAAACGGAAATCCAGGGGACAGCTCCGATAGGGCTTAGTGTGATCTTAGCAACGTCCCGGGGCAGGAGCACGTGAGCGGCAGCTTATCATTCTTTATCGAGCCCATTCACCCCTCCCCCTTTTTCTTTGCTTGCAAACACTGACTTTATATCTCACCTTCAATCATGACGACTAATAGTGGTACCGGCCAGATTCCAGTCATTGACATCTCAGGCACCATACCAGAAGCCGAAGTAGCCAAGCAACTTGTCGACGCTGCTGCAACATATGGATTTGTTTATATCAAGAATCAAGGGAAAGACATTCCTGTGGAGGCAATAGATAATACATTTAGTCTGGTATGAGCGTTCATAAAACCCTAAGCTCTGATTATACTAACTTTATTTCCCAGTCAAAAAAATTCTTCTCCTCTCCAATTGAGGAAAAGGAACCATGCAAGATCACAGAAAATGTACTGTCCTGCTACGTTTCATAACGCTTATCATCAGCTAATGTGATCAAGAACCGAGGATGGTCAGGGATGCATTCAGAGACGTTGGATCCTGCAAGTCAAAGGGTATTCTACTCCTTCGCATAACACATGCAAAGCTAACTTCACTTCAAGGTCGGAGATTTCAAAGAGTGAGAGAAGGAATCCTCAAGTCCTAGTATTGTTCTAACAGATATATCTAGAGCTATGAACCTTGGAGAGTTTGTCCAAGGCAAAGCACAACAACCATTGCCTCCCGCGTTTGTAGACAAGGAAGCCGACCTCGACGAATTCCAGAAATACTGTCACGCCATGATGATGAAAATCCTAACCCTCTTCGCAATCGGCCTCCAGGTACTCTCCCTATCCCTCTCACACCCCCCCCCCCCCCCCCCAAAACCACTCTCTCCATTTCTAAACATATACTAGATCGATCCCTCATCCGGCGGCTCGACCTGGTTTTCATCCCGCCACATCGGCGGCCCATCTGGATGCACTTTACGCCTTCTCCACTACCCCTCCATCCCTTCCTCCTCAGACTTCAAACCCGAAGTCGACATCCGCGCCGGCGCCCATTCAGACTACGGTTCCATCACGCTCCTCTTCCAGCGCCCGGGTCAACCGGGCCTCGAAATCATCCCCCCAGATTCTCAACCCACGAACCGCGATTTCGGCGCCACTGCAGCATGGACGCCCGTGCCCGTCTTCCCTCCTTCCACTGAATCAGATCCTAGTCCGCCTATTCTTGTTAATATCGGTGATTTGCTGAGTCATTGGACGAATGGGCTGTTTAAGAGTACAGTGCATAGAGTGGTATTTCCGAAGGAAGGAAGAGAGGGCGGTGAGGATAGGTATAGTATTGCTTATTTTGGACATCCGGTGGGGAGTACGGTGTTGGAGGCTGTGCCGAGTGAGATAGTAAAGTCGCTGCGGAAGGAAGGAGGTGGTGAGGGCGAGTTCGTGAACGCTATGACGGCAGATGAGCATTTGGTGGGGAGGTTAAAGGCTACGTATTTGGGGATGTATAGGGATGGTGAGGGGGAGGTCAGCGGGAAGGTTGCGGCTGCTTGATTCTGGTAGATTACCTTATAAATCAAATATTCTCTACTCCTTATCCCCCGGCTGCAAGTTCCTGGGGAGCCATGGTCAAGTGGCGTGGTAATATTCTGTGTTAAGTCAGTGGAATTGCTGTGCCAGCAAAACAAGTCGCAGGTAAGCTGTGAATGCTTTACTTGCAATAAACACACTGAACGATTTGGCACGCAATATACATAGGCTGGCTAATAATAGGCGAGTAATGAAATCTTAACAGTGCCCACATGAATTAGATGAGTGAATCGGAGTGTGTGGCCGGTGATATAAAGGGACCACTCCGCCGACAAGCCAGAGTCCATCATCCTGACGGCAACAAGCATCATCAACCTCAACTTGAACCCACAAGGTTTCACGCCAGAGCCAGCAGCGTCAACTACAAACCCACAACACCAAACCGAATCATGTCTTCCGTGCCCTCAAACACATTGGCAACCAATGCTCCGGCAAGAATAATGGCAGATCCTCTATTCACCCTGTTCCCGAAGCTTGTTCTGGAACTCCGAGAAATTATTGTAAGTCACTCTGCTGCGCGGCTGAGGATTTGAGATTCCAAATTCTTCTCCATCTTGCTGACCCGAGAACCTGCAGTGGAAAGAAGCACTCCCACAGCAGAGACTTGTCTTGATAGAAGACCGCACGACGTACCTAGACCGCCTGCTTCCCACCCGAATCGCGACAGATCAGATGCTAGGAAAACACTTCCACAGCAAGACGCCTATCTCTGCTCTATTGCACACCTGTGCCGAGTCCCGCCGCATTGCACAGGAATCGGGCTTTGTGCTTGCGTTTGGCCAAGACGGGGCTGGAGAAAATGGCCGTCTCTGGTTCAATTTCGACCGGGACGTTCTCTACCTTCCATCTGGACAGTTTGAATACAGATCTCCCGGATCTTGCGTTGATACTGAGCGTTTTGTATACGACTTGGACACTTTCATTGGGCCGCAGCAGAAGATCAAGAGACTTGCACTCCGATCGGGTATAGACGGAGTGAAGGATATCGTGCGGATTCTCCCATTCAAGTGCTTCTCGGAGCTTGAAGAGTTTATCGTTGTTGTGCAGCATTGCGGAAGAGATGTTTCCTATCCAGATAAAACTAAACTGAGAGAGCAACGCGATGATCCATGGACTTTGATGGACATCAATCAGGCTGATGATATTGATGGACACTGTCTTATTGACGGAGATATCTTCGAGGTTGTGCGGGATGCTAGAGGGGTGCCTGATTTTGGGGACGTGGACCGATTAATCAGATGGGTATATCAGGATAAACGTGTCACCATCCCAAGCCTGAGAATGAAGCAGGTCGTGCCGGAGAGTGATGTGCAGGCTGTAATGAGGCAGAGAGCGGAGTACAGGAGAAAATTCAACGAGTCTAAGGTTGCTGAGTATAAGGACGGTGACCCCTGGCCGCAGTTAGTGACGAGGACGTTCTTTCTGGCTAACCGGCGTTTGAAATTATACCCATCAAACGCGAGATAATCACCCTCTAAGAAAAACTACCATGGATCTCTAAATCTATCCCACATCTTCTTTCTTTCTACTTTTCTATCCCATCCAACTGCTTCCCATCGTGCTCCTCAACTATGAATAAACACCTCTTCTATCTCCCAGAAACTTTTCTAAATCCATAACGTGAAATATTGCTCAAGCTAAACACTTCGATCAGTATAATCACCCTCGTATCGCAATTATCTACTTGCGTTGTCAATACATGAGGCCGATAAAGAAGTAGACTTGGCTAGCAGGCGCACTTGAGTCAATGTGAATAAGTGAACGTCCGAATTTCATTAGAAGTTGAAAGTAAAGGTAAACTCCATATAGTACTTCCTAGACCGGATATCCTTTGGTTCAGAATGTAAGTCTTGTAGACGCGCTTATAAGTCTCTCACGCCTGACGTTTCATAGAAGGCATTTTAGTAAAGAGAGAATTACGGAGGCACAGGCTAGCCCATATAAATGCTAAGGACCTGTTTTCTAAGATAAGGCGGGCTGCTACGGTACAAGCTGGGTTAGCAATCACTATATATAATGTAAGTTTTGAGGCGGAAGAATTGAATCAGGTTGATGTAGTAGGTAGGGAGTACAAACCATACTATTATACATGAAAACACGATGAATGCATGAAAGGTTTACAAGGGGTTATATGGGCTTTCAACCGGCATATGCATCAAGCGAGAAGCCTTACAGGCCAGCAAAATGGAATGAAAACATGTGATTGCGTAGCGTATGTGGGGAAGGGATGGGAGTGCGTATTATGGGGCAGGTAGATGATTGTAGTCTCTTGTTTCATTGACAAACAGTACTGTCGCGTATATACATAGGAGTTTGATTTGGAATCACATGCTTCTTTGTATAGAAGCCCAGTGCACTTCCCGCGCCTTCAACACAACCGGAGCTCTACTATCCGGCACCAAGATCCCAATCCTGAACCTCGGAACCGAGCTTGTCTTTCCATATTGGCGAAACTTCGATTGCACGGAATCCTGGATCCGTACCTCTAGACCCTCGAACCAGGTATCAGATGCCTCCCTACTATCAATTGCAAGATCAAGGCCTACAAACCTAAAGCCCCAGTCATGATAGTCCTTATTTTCCGAAAAATCTGCTTTCAGGAACGTCCACTCCCTCGGTCTGAGACGTCCACCAGAGCTCTGGTGACCAGATGGCGCAGCGCTGCTAGAAAAACGAGTCTTGATACCGGCGATGAGTGTCCAACACTGGTGCGAGAATCCATGCTGGGGTAGATTCCGTGCAGCCTCTGGATTGACGCAGATTCCAATGTCGTGTCTCGTGATGCGCAACGAACGTTGGCCCTCGTTCCCTATAATGACGAAGTACTCCTCGATGTTGTGCAACTTGTTGAAGAATTCATCGCTATCGAAGACATTTGGTTTTAGATCTTCGGCCTGTAAAGAATCAACATGCTGGTATATACTCTTGCCGCTTCTGAAATCGATACTTTTCTTGGTAGAGTGTGGCAGCTGCCAAAACAGGTCTCTGTGGGGAACGGATGAGTAGAAAACACTACTTACCACTCTCCGAATCGAAAGGCACTGATCATCAGTCAAATAACATTCAAGCCTTACCTGCTTACGGCTATTCTTTGTGCCTGGTCGTGGAAGATACAGCACATATTTCTTAAGGTTAAACCAGATACGACCCTGCGATGACAGATAAGTTAGATATATATACGATACGTTTTTAAAAGCCGGACAAGTGGATCATAAAGGCCACCCTGGAGTATCTGAAGTTCAAGGAATAGGAATAGGAATTGAAGTGTGTTTTCCAATGTGGTCCCCATTACACGTACCTCCCCCTCATCCTTTTTCCCAAACTCCAACCTCCACCCAGCATCCATGGCAATCCTCCGAGCCTCCCTACAAGCATGAAGCATCCCCGGAATCGGTGAGTTGCTAAACAGGTAATCATCAGGCTTATCATCTAAAAATCTGTGAATCACCCCGCGCACAATAGAAGTATGCTGCACGTGGACGAAGCGCCGTTCGGGGAGTGCTTGCTTCCAGATCATCTCTTGGAGCTCTGTAGCTAGCCTTGGAAACGACTTAAATGTTGTGGCTGCGAGCATCGTGTTTGGTTCTGTGCTGAATTGTGGTAGAGAGACCATTGTTCCGTCGTGGGTCGACATTTGGAAGGACTTGTGGGTGGTTGAGGATTCGTATCGATATAGTATTCCCGCTTATTGTGACATGAAGGGATAGCAGAGAGATCCTCAGGGGTAATATAGAAGTAGGGCTGATTGTCTACCAGAGTATCGTACATGTGACAGAGGTGTAGTGTTGTAGAGTTGTAAAAGAGGCCCCCAGCTCCCCCAAAACCCAGCTGGCGCTAGTCTCGGTTGGCATGCTATTCACTTCACCACACATTGACAGCCAGACATGATCGACACTTATCCTAGAGGAAAATCAATGAATCATCATCAAATAATCCAAATACAAAGTTTTCATCAACGGTCATGGGTTCAAAAGTCGTTTTATAAAGGTTTTGTGCTTGTTGACTTACCCCTTTCTACGCGAGGCAGTCAAAAAGCCTAGGCTAACCATCCCTACTCACCTGCTAATCATTCGCTCTGGGATCAAATCACAAGAAACAAACAGATATCAAGCCCATATGGGTTCCAGCGCCGGAGAGTAGGGATCAATTATTGTTGAAGTTGGGGGGCGAATATTAGAGCAAGAACGGTGGTTACAAATCTTTAGATAGTGTTATAGCAAAAATAGATCATCACATGTAAATCATCACATAGCCATATGCCAAAAATAATTGCTTTATCATCCTTTCATTTGATATCGAGCGCTATCCACATGGCCTCTCCTCCACATGCATCTCTCCTTTCACCCCATTGGAGTAGGAGCTTTCAAGCGACCATACTCATAATAACTACTGGTCTGTAGTCTCAATATTTCATCTCCAGAGATCAGGAACTTTAAAGCTACCATGTCTCGATCCATAATATTTCGCAATAAAACGCCTGGGAATGTGCCGGGGGTGGTAGAACAAAGAAAATACATGACGGTGAATCTTTCGCTAGTCGTTGGTCACATTCGGGAAGTGGAAGGCGGTTATTTCGCAAGGGTTGTGCTTTTCGTAGGGCGTGTATGTCGTGTTGAAGGTCTTCGGGGGTGGTCGTGCATGAATTGGGGCCGCTGAATTGGTGAGGGGTTCATCAATCTGAATTAGAAAGCTGTATGTGGTGCAAATATAAATGGAACGGCCCGAAACAGGCACAGAAAATGTCGACAAATACATGCCGCTTTACATATCCATCGAGTCGCCGCCGTTAGCATTGGCGAAGTTAAAGCCACCGCCACCTGCCGCGTTGTTGGCGCCAAATCCAAAGCTGCTCTGATCGCCGGCAATGGTTTGTTGAACATCATCTGTCGCCTCCTCTTCATCCGAGAAGTACTTTTCGATCATGTTGTATGCCTTCATGTAAATTTCCTCGTTGGCATTGGTTTGGCAATCGTGGATCTTCTCCATGCCTTGGCATTCCTCAATGAAAAGGGCGTATCTATTGATGCTCTCTTGGCCTTCGCCAGCGGCATCCTTGTCCATCTCTCCGACCTTCAAGATATTCTCAAGACCATCGAGGGCAACCTGAATGATTTTGTTATCCGGGCAAGCAAGCAGGTCACACAGTGGCTTGATGCAACCCTGGTTAACAAGATATCGAATCTGCTCAGGTTTTTGAAGTCCACCTGAAGTAGCGTTCGAGATGGCCCAGCAAGCCTCTTTGCGGGTCTTCAGGTCGCCGTTGGAAAGCAGGTGAATCAAAGGTGGGATGATGTTGGCATCGATCACAGCTTGGATCTGAGTGGAGTTGCCGGCGGTAATGTTGGAGATGGTCCAGCAAGCCTCCTTGCGAATCCCGTCTTTGCCGGAGCTCAAAAGCGAGAGCAGAGCTGGAAGAGCACCATTGTTGATGATGACTTGAGTCTGGACGTCATCACCTGTCACAATGTTGCCAACTGATCGGAGTGCAGGGGTCTGGACAGAGGTAGAAGCATGCATGAGGAGCTCTACGAGACGGCGAGGGATACCGGCTTCGATAACGGCCTGGATCTTATCATTGGCCCCATCGGAAAGATATGAGATAGCCCAGCAAGCATCAATCAAAACCTCATCGTCCAAGGAGTACACAAGCTTTGCTAAAACTGGTAGGGCAGGCAAGATCTGCTGGACTTGTAAGCTTTAGATGGGAAATGGAATGGAGAAAGTACTTACGGTGTTCCAATCTGGCTGTGGGGTTTTGCCACGGCAGAAGTTGCTGAGAGTCCATGTGGCATTGCGGAGCATGCTCAGCTTGCGGCTGTCGCCCAAAAGGTTCAAAAGTGGCTTGAGAGCACCGCAGCTCAGAACGTAATCCCGGCATGATGGACTGTCACCAGCAATGTTTCCTAGAGCCCAAACAGCTTGCTCTCTAACATCAGGTTCGTGACTGCCTAACAGCTCAACGAATATTGGGACAGCACCAGCCTCAATGACAACCTGCGTTTGTTGCGCCGAACCTGAAGCAATGTTGGTAAGAGCCCAGGCAGCTTCGAACTGCACGAGTGTATGAGGTGATCGGAGGAATACGACGAAACGGCTGACAACTCCAGTCTTGATGACCTCTTCAATTGGCGGGTTGCGCTCCTTGGAAAGCAGCTTTCGGAATTTCGTTGTAGCTTGGATTTGGAGGTCAATCTGGTCCGAGAAAACACCCTGAACCATTTGAGGAAGGTCCTCGTTTAACTAAAAACGATAAGAACATAATTAGCATTTGCATCTTTAAAACATACAATAAGGGATTTATGCGGGGAAGTGCTCGTGCTGTCCAGGTGCTCCTTGACAGTGGAGCTCTCAGCGGCGGTCAACTCGCACAAGCGAAAAAGCAAATTCCACTAAGCGGTAACCCCACCAGGGAGAGTAAACAGAGGAAGAGAGCATGCGACGCCAAGGGCTGTGCAAAGGCTTGGAGAGCCGCCGAAGAGCGCAATGCCTTGTCCTGGGGTACAGTGGGTAGATAAAATGAGTCTGAAGCTTACCTGACTCTCTGTGGGTGCGGTATCATCGTCGCTATCCGGCTCTGCGCCCAGAGAGGCTCCAGGTCGTTCCCCTCCTCCGATGCCTCGTCTCTTTGCCAGGTTCTCCTCACGCTTGGCCTTGCGAATCTCCACCTGCTGCTCCTCACGACGGCGTCGCAGCTCTTCAGGCTTGAATGTGTTCTTCGCCTTGAACTGGGTACGACGATGCTCGGGGATGTAACGGTCAGCCATATTTGCGGAGGGCTGTAGGCGCTCTGAACGATATGGCTATGCGATATGGACTGATCAATGCGAGGTGATCAGATCCTGCTCGTTGCTCGTGGCGTTGAGAAATTGTGGTGTGAGAATGAATTTGAGTTTGAAATGGGTTCAATATTCAAAAGAAGCTCAAAGCAGGAGCAGGCGCAGGGCAGGACGGGCAGCCGCTTTCAAAAGGAAAATCCACGCTAGCCGTATCTGGCTAGTAGCTACACTAACCACTTTGGTTTAATCGCATCGCGTCCTTCCAAACGCGTCTCCCCAAATGGCAAAAAGAAGCATTCAGTTATTTTGAAGGATAGCTTCTCTGGATTGTTGATATCCATGGCTATTTGCATTTGCGTTTATGCTTGCCATTGGTTTGAGAGTTCTGCTCTGGCGTAGCAATACATTTGCTCATCCGCTGTTTCCAAAAGTCAATAAAACGATTCACAGCAATACCACAAACCGTTACGATGGACAGCACTCAGGAGTCAACACTAGCGTCTTCCGAGCCTCCTCTACCGCCTGGCTTTAAGACTATTGAACAAATTCAGAACTTCTCAAGTGACCAGATTAGAGCCAAAGGGCAGGTCAGTGTTATTGGGTTTCTGCAGGATTTCCGAGAACCATTTCAAACTGGTGGCACAGGTATGTCTTTCAATCCGATTCGAACATCTCAAGCAAATAACATCTATAGACCACAAATGCACGCTCAGGTTGAAGGATCTTTCAACTTGGTCCAGTACTTCTGGATTGGACATTGTCATTTTCTGGCCACTGAAGTACATGCCGAAAGTATCAAACCCCGGTGATGTGGTTCTGGTGCGAGGCGCAAAAGTAAGTCCCTTTGTAATAGCTGATTCAACGCGGTCTTATTTCTGCAGGTGCAAATGTTTGGCGGAGCCGTGCAACTGATCGCAAACAAAAATTTCACTCAGTTTCACATTCTGGCTGCCTCGAATGTTCCACGTGAATTAAAGAGCGTTGCAAGTATTCCTTGGAATACATACGGTCCACCTCAAGGGAAGTCTGTAGCTCCCAATACAATCGATTTAGCATACATCATATGGGCGAATTCTCATAAAGCGGACCTCGCCCTGCCATCGAATCAAGAATTCCAAGAAAATGTGAGCAGGTCCGCAAATGTTAAAGATAAATTCAGTCTTCTGCAGGATGTGCAGAGTGGACGATTTTATGACATTATTGGCAAGATAATCAAAGTCTACGAGGGCTCAAGAGAAGGGCTGTCCGTTTACTTATCTGACTATACGCAAAACGATAATTTCTACAATTATGAGTGGAACAAGATTCAGGATGGTGGAGATGAATATGGGTACACGAAAAGGAAGCCACAGAAGGAACCCGACAAATTATGGCCAGGTCCTTATGGGAAGATGACCATCCAACTGACTCTCTACGACGCTCAGGCCGGATATGTCCGGGAACAAGTCAAAATCGGCCAGTGGGTCTTGATGAAGAACGTTCAGATCAAGTATGGAAACATGGGTGGTTGCTTGGAAGGAGTTCTGCGGGGAGACCGTGATAAAGCTGAAGAGTTGGTCAAGGTGGAGATACTAGAACAGTCGGAAGATCAAGATCGAATTGATCCAAGGCTGAAAGAAGGAGTCCGTCGCAAACGCGAGCACGAGAAAAGGTTCAAATCCCAAATTCAAGCTATTAGGGATGAAGAAGCGTGTTTAGGAGACAAGCGGAAGCGGGGGGACGATGGAAACGGTGATGGTGAGAAGGGTAATCACAAACAACGAAGGAGGGAAAAGCGAGCCGCAGCTCACCGCAAAGTAGCAGAGGCTGAGGCAAAGGCTAGGAAGAAGTTGGATCTAAATGAAAACAGTAAGCAATACTCCCACACGACGATATAATTTCTGACCTCCAATATAGTAAGATGCGCCCATCCAGACCTGCCAATTCAATCTTTTGCTGAAATCCAAGAACCACGAAAGATCCTTTTGGATGATGGCCAGGATTACATTTCACCCTTCACCAATTGCAAATACAGAGCCAATGTTCGCGTCGTAGATTACTTTCCACACAGAATCGAAGACTTTTCTGTGGGCTATCGTGCCAGTGAATATGAAATGCTGTCAGACTACAGTGGAGATGAAGATACTGATCGCGAAGAAGATCTAAGGACGTTCAGAAGTGGACACGGATTCGCCAAGAACACATGGGAATGGAGATTCGCCTTGCAAGTTGAGGATGCTACTGCTAAAGATCCAAAGGATCGCATGTGGCTGATTGTTGACAATCCTGCTGCGCAAGGATTATTGAACCTGGAAGAGGATGCTACCAGGTAAGATGACATATTATTTTAAGAGCCCATTCTAACACAACCAGCCTTCGAGGAGATAAAGAACTGCTAGATAAACTCAAAAGACAGCTCGACATATTATGGGGCGATCTCGAAGAGCAAAAGTCAGCAAAGCAGCAACTGGAAAAGACGACGAATCTTCCATCAACCTTCGACTCAACAGCTTCATCCCCACCACCCACTCACAACGCAGGCGACCAACCCGACGCAGATGACAGTGACGACGAAAACATATCGAAGAGACGAAATATAGAAGATACAGAACTACAAGACCGTGCTCCAAATGAGATGGCAACGATAAACCCCATGAACCAAGAGGGTGATAGCAAGCTGGCACCCAGAAACAAGCCTTTCACCTGCTGCATCAAGCAGTACGGCGTCAAGGTAAAGGAGAAAAATCCATCAAAAGCCAACGCAGGGAATGGGGAGAGGTGGGAGCGGAGATTTGGAATCTTTGGCACGTCCATCTCATGAGTGTGTATCTAGGACCATAGGCGCTATGGCATGTTTTAAGTATACCCAGATTAGCTTTGGCAGAATAATTACACACAAAATCCAGAAAGAAGATCCTGCTGATATAAAGAAGTGCGCGTCGTCTCAAATGTCCACGCGAAACAAAGTTGATTCACTTTTCACACTGCAACTGCAACCCTTTCAAGGCATGAATGCTTTCTTTTGTTGCATGTCGATAGGTTCCAGGTTCAATTTCTAGACTTCATTTTGACCGCTTTTCATCTCCCTCGTCGCTGCCGAACCTTTCACGTAACGCTCAAATTTCTGCCGCGCTTTGCAAATTCGTGTTATTATACTCCACAACTCTGAGACCGGGTGCCAGGATCACTTTATTATGCAATTCAAATAATATTTAATGTCTCGCCGGCATTGCGGTTTTTGGATCTCCGTACGCTCTCTTGGTGGAATTTTTTATTGTTTATCATCGAAATTTGGCATGCAGCTTTCCATGATTTGTTTGGATCCCTGGCGGCAATGTCTTGGAATTTTTCCTATTGCACTTCTGTTTCCAGGATTTCTATAGAGACATCTACCCTAATTCCTCTGCCACCATGCTTCCAAATTGAATCAAACACCGAACATCTCCTTCACCGTCTCCTCGACCGGCTTCAATGTCACCCCTCTACTCGCAAGTAGCTCCCCCAACGTCCCATCCCGAATCTCACACTCCCCCTCCTCCAGCGCGGGGTAACTGCTACTCCACCACTCCACCGCACTTCTCTCCCTCCCTCTCCCAACATAATACTTCACATACTCTTCCCTCCCTACAACCATAACCCTCAGCTCCCTCCCCCCTCGCCCTCCCCACCAACCCCGCAATCTCCCGCAACGACCGCCCCATCTCCGGCGGCGCGCTCAAATAAAAAGTCTTCCCTGCCCACGTCTCACTCCCATCCACCAAAACCAATGCAGTCCCGAGCCCCAAATCCCGAATCGCAGTCCAGCAGACCCTGCCATCCCCCGCTAGGATAATCTCGTCTCTCTTATCCCCCCCAGCAAGTTCAAAATACCCCAAGTACAGCGGCCAGCTCTCACTATACAACCCCTCCCTAATAACCGTGACCTTCACCCTGCCCCGCTCTTCCAACCCTCTTAAATACTTCTCCGTCCGCAAGTGCGCACGCATCACGCCCGCGCTCGAATTAGCCCCAAATGCCAACGATGTATAATAAACATGCGATACACCCGCGGTGACAGCCGCGTTTATAGCGGCTATATGCGCGCTCTCTCTCCCTTTACCCTCTGGCGCATCGTTGAAATCCAAGGCGATGTTGGGAGTGGAGACTAAGAATAATTTCTCGCATCCGGCAAAGGTGGCTGGGTCTGGAGCGTTGAAGTTGAAGTGCCGGAGTTGGGCGCCTTGCGATTTGAGGGTGTTCCAGCGGGGTGAGGATGGGTCTGAGGAGGTGCAGAGGATTAGGCGGGAGGGGGGTAAGAGGTCGTGTTCTTGGATTGCGGAGAGGACTGCGTTGCCTAGTTTGCCGGTTATGGAGGTTAGGGCTAGCATTTTGGGAAATCTTCAAGGGGTTTATTGGGGGGTGGAAGAATGGGGAAGCGATATAAATAGGGGAGAGGTTGTCTGGGTGGGGTTTCGGCGTTACTGTACTGTAAATCAGCTGATGAACGCTGATACGTCATTAGATTTCAATTCAAAATAATCGTCTTTATACTTGGGGTTTTATAGATTTATATCGTGGAATTAAGAGTGGGAATCAGTGCGAGGTTTGAACGAGCTTGGTGCGAGGCTATGTGGATGTCAACTTGGCTTGGTGAATATCGGAGTTAAGAGAAAGGAAGCCTAGTGAAAGATCAATGATTGATAATCTTGAGACAAAAATAAAACTCGATCTCTTCTTCAAACATGTCAATAGGGCTTTTAGGGTGTCTTGAGCAGACGTATGTCGAAGCTACAAGTGTCCATAGATTAGTTATCATTTACCTCCTATAGTGTTTTACGGCCTTCTCCATAAAAACATCTAATGGTCCTCATGCTAGATAGCTTCAAGAGGCACACCCTATTGTTGACTTTTAATGTCCCACGCTGCCTAGCACATTATAAACTAGTGCCATTTGTCCTATCTACCGTGACTCCGTGAGGGTTCTTTAAATAGCAGCGGTTTGTTACAGCGATGGCCGTAAAACACTATAGGAGTTACACGCGTATAATTTTGAATCCACAATTTTCAGGAATATATGGTAGAAGCAGCCCATCCTCCAAAAGGCTATAGTAGATTTTTGACTTTCACTGTGCCGGAAGCTTCCTGGGTTTTGGTAGGAAGAAATGCTTACTCTCACTTGTTACAATAAACATGGTGTATATTAATTAGTCCTCCTGGCCCCTCCAGTATCCCCCTCTATTTGTCAAGTTCACTCAGTACAAGCTATATTAGCCAAATTTTCTCGAAAATGGGGAGCTCAAGTCAATAGACGGTCGATTGTCATGTGATCCGATAGGTAAGGAAAAGAAGGGGTTGCTTCTGCCATCCTGGGCCGCTGGGAAAAGATTTTCTCTTCCAACCTTTGACCTCCTTCCTTCTTCCTCGGATTCGATCTCTTTTCCCATTAATGCACTTTGCCCCTACTTCGGGCCTTCCCAAATCCTCGCTCCTACACGAATTGCTAGACTTGGTCTTCGGAAGTTTGGCTACAACCTTGCCTTTACTGCTGCACTCTCTGATTCTAGACGGGCAGTTGACTTCGAGTATTCACTCTTTGAAGCTTCGAGAGCCCGTTGCAACGACCTCTTCAAGTAAACCTTTTCAAATCTCGCAGCATACCAACGCAGAACTTTGGACAGTCCAACTTCTTTATCCGACTAGATCTACCTGCTACGACAAGAAAAAGCTTTGCCATCATCGAGACCAAATTTAGATTTCTCTTTGCTAGTCTGGATCATCAAAACATCCTCTCTCAATATTCACTTGTCAACGTCGATCTCTCATATTGTATGTTTTCCTCCTTGAAATGATGATACACCAACTTATGTCAATCACGCAAATGAGTCAAAAGCCTATAGCTAATACGAAGCAGGGCAACAATGTCTCCACAAGAGCATGGCATGGAAGTTGATGTCGTTGAGATTCAGACACAACTTGCCACAGCTATTTCCGAAAGAGATCAAGCACGACAGCGATGTGACCAACTAGCTTCAGAGCTTTTGGCTATCACAAGCCCCAGCCAAAAGAAGTCTCAGTTTCTGACCATGATCCCCTTGGAGATTCGCAACGCAATTTACACTTTACTTCTCCAAGACAACGTTCTTTCTGAACGCGCCTCTATTACCAACGTTCGGAGCTATCATTTGACACCAGAAATTCTGCGAACATGCCGCCAAATATATGAGGAAGCCTCGGGGATATTATACGGATCAAATAACTTCTTCATCGACTGTTCGCACTCCTCTATCATCTGGTCACCCCTAGCGAACCACAAGGAAGGGGTTGTTTTCGCAGGACATGTTATGAAAGATGAGATGCGAAGTATCTCTGCAATCAAACGAGCTCAACACTTAAAAGTCCTTTTGAATCCAAACAAGACTAAATGTGACGGTGGAATTCGAGAAAATCTTGTCTACTTGTGCGAGATGATTTGCGACACTCCTCGGAAGTCTATTGAGTTGTCGATTGTTCCACGAGGGGAGATTTTTCGAGCCGATTACATGGAAGATCCAACGCGTGTTTCACAACACACTACGACGAAAAATCTACTATTGCCGCTGCGCATTCTTCGAAATGTCGCGAGTTTTAAGCTGCAATACGTAGACGAAGATGAGGTCTTCCACCCCTCAGGAGATGTCTCTCAGCCAGCCCCACTCCTTTCCTGATGCATTCGAAGCTAGCTTGAAAGCACTGGTAGAAGGCAACCAACCGGTCACATATGTCTTTAAGATGTATGACAATCTTGTGGTCTACGCTCAGAGCTTTGAGCTGAGCACGAAATTCAAAAGACAAATGGAGCCAGAATTTGGACGTGGCCGGATATATTATCCCGACGTAATTCATACCTTAAAGGACAGCGAAGACAGTTTTTCATACGATGTTGGTAATGATAAAATAGTTGACATCCGTGAGTCGAAATATAGTCATGATAATTGGACTATCGATAGCCCGTTCCTGAGCCATCCATTGGAGGAAGCTCTTAGGTACGCCAGTATCGCTTGTGAACTTCAAGGTGCCAAGACATTCAAGACATATAGAGCAACCGTGCTTGAGATCTTGGAACCACAATATCAAAAGATTGCAGAGGCTAGAAAAGCTCTGGTGGACTTTGTCAAAAGTCACAAAGTTCGTTTTGGTCTCCTTGACGCAAAATCCAACAACATCAGCGTCAGGTGGCGGTGGAATACAATGAAAGAAGTATTTGAACTTGCTCTTTTGCTCCTAGAAAACTATGCCAAAAGTTTCGCACGGGATATGCCTGACGAGATTCGAAGAAAAATCCAAGGATACCAGCAAAAGTTTTACCGCAACAACTCCATTCTACCCTCCCACCGGCTAGTTGAACATTTAGACGTGCTTCTGAACGAAAACTGTAGTTACTTCGACTTCTTTAGATACCATTTGGACGACTTCAGACAGACGTTCAAGTCTGAGGTGAATGAGTTGGACAAGAACTACTTGGAGATACGCAAAGCACGTAGAGCGCTCTTTGACCACGACACGAGTGATTGGGGCTGCGATATCGACCTACAGCTTGAGAGTTGCGATGAAATGATCAATTGGGATATCAACGAGCCAAATATCGGACCAAAGACGAAGTCGGAATGGGATCGTGAGGAGAATAGGCGTCAAAGATAACTTGCAGCAAGTAACCCTTCTGTCGACAGTAGCACTTAGGAGGATGTAACTCAATACACTCCACGGATAGAAGGGAAAGGCAGAGACCCTGTTGCTGCAGAGAACAAAGGAGCGGATCTACTGGGGGGAGCTAAGGATACAATAACGCAACGACAGATAAGCAGTGCGACGTCGACGGAGCATATAAGGCTTCTCATATGATCATATCGCATGGAAGAATGGCTGTATCTTTCTTTCTTTTCCTTCATCAGCTTTCTCTCTATAGCAAACACAGTCTTCACATTCTCTCACAGCTTGGAAGAGGAGCTGCATAGCTGCCTGTATCAAAAGTACACTCTGACATAAAGGAAGGAAAGTTCGTATACTTTGGCGAGCATTAATATCCTAGTGAAATCCGATCGCAAACCTGCCGTCCTCGGTAAGTCAGCATCGCCGCTCTACTCAAGCGCGACTCACTCTCGCCCTCCCGCCAACCAATCGTGACGTGCTTCATCTTATCTTGGGCTCTGGCGCGCAAAAGTTGTCAACTCGACACGATTATACCAAATCAGCTCCCAGGGAGCCCAAAAGAGATCTCTCCCCAAAATGCATCCCTTCAATCTCTCAAGGCTGCGATGCACATTTCTCATGTGACATGGCGCGGGGCGCGGCGCTAGTCCTTGCCTCGCTCTATAGGTTTTCGTCTTTACTTCATGTTCAAATCATCCACCCTCTGCCGCAAAAGTATTTGATTGTTTTCATCTCTTCCGTTCCTTCTGTTTCTAGTACTGCGAAATTGTGTTCCCCTTCCCTTTTTGGTGTGACTAGTGTATAGCTCATATTTAATGTTGGAATACATTGGCCGGAGGAGTCGGGACTGTTGGGAGGACCTATTCATAAAACTTTTTCTAAATGACTCTCACCCATATTGCGATTTGAGGTATAAGATTTATTTAACCAAAGTTTATTTTTACAATCTAATAGATAGTTTATAGTACAGTCGCTCAGCAAAACCTTTCCTCGGCAAATATTGAAATAGGGTATTCAAGATTAATCCTAAATATGTTCATCACGAGTTATAAGCAATCAACGCCATATCCTAATAGTTTTGGAAATTGGGTTTAGCCTCTTAGCATGGCCCAGAATACCATTACAGATACATTAAGACTTGGGGGATTCTATGTTTTTATCCTTGTCGTGATTCATGAACAGGCGAAACGGTCGCCGTCCGTTCGTCGGCAGGCTCCTCGGAAGAGGAGTTATTAAAGTCGTAAGAGAGTCGACACTATCCTTGAATTTTCGCCAAGAGGGTAAGGGAGAGGTTTATTTTCGAGGAGAATCAAGTTTGGGAGGCGTTTAGGATAGCGAGACGTCGTCTTCAAATGCTAGCTAGGGGGCGGGGCGAGTGGTGGCATCAATAAATACGCCTTCAATAATAGATGTGCTGTTTGTGAAGCTAACCGAGGCCGCAGGAAGTAATTGCAGGCCATTTTCGGTCATCTCTGATTATAACAGCTACAGTACAGTTGTCTCAAGGTTTAGGTAAGCGATGTGCTAGTCCCAATTTGGATCTGCTGGGCAGGACTACACATTTTTCAAGAACAAGTCTATTGTATTTTTGCCAAATGACCGTGTAGGCAAAAGCTTATTATTTCTTCATGGAGATACCTATACAATTGTAACCCTACAATACAATAACCATACCATTTTCCAGAACCCCTTACTTGTCTTATGACTTGCAACCCGCTATCTATGCATGCACGCCCTCAAAAAACCGTATACAAAGCCGCTCGCTCTCTTAATCGCTCAAATACTTAATCATCATCCTCATCATACCCCTCACCAACCCCCGCCCACCCACACCCCCATCTCCGGCCCTCGGCCTCACCACCCATCCTCAGATCCCGCGCCTCATCTCCTCCTTCGCGCCATACGCGGACGAGGAAATCGTCTCCGACGCTTATAAGTTCGCCGTCGGAGTTCCAGGCTACGGAGCCTACTTCGCGGTCGTGACCTCGTAGGAGCGGGGTGCCGTGCGTGGAGATGGGGATAGATTCGTCATCAAGTCTGCTGCCTGTACCTGTTGCTGTTTTGGAGGCGCGCTTGCTTGTAGCTAACCAGTTGTGTTCTGGTGATGAAGGGAGAGGTTTTGGGAGGTATCGTTCATCGGTTGGAAAGAGCACTGCGGCTCCCCAGCTGCTTCCTACGGCTAACATCTCGCTTTTACCATCTTTTGCTTTGCGGATGGCGGATTTTACGTAGAAGGACGTGGCTTGTAAACGAGGGTGTCGGAACCCGTATAATGGTCCTAAGCCTTCTTGCGTCTGGCGAGCCGGGGCGCGTCGACCGTTGTTGGCGGAGGAGAGTTCTGGCGCATGACCGAGCATCAGATGAGCTGTTGAATAAGCATAGACTGTATTGTCTTTACAAAGAGTGTAGAGTCTGCTGCCATCTGTATTGAGATTCATAGATGTGATGCCGAAATGTCGCCATTGGTTATGAGTTTGGGGCTTTGCAGTTGAGGAGAGCGGTATTTGGGCCTTGCGTTTACTGTGCAGGGTTCGAATATCCCACAATTTGACAGAGGCATCGGCTTCAGAGGCTGTGAGGAGAAGATTGTCGTGGCCCGGAAGAAACTCAATGGCAGTTACTGATACATCTCCAGCTCTCCTTGGGACATCTCCACGGCTAGCGGCGTCAGACAGGATATTGGTGTGCGTCTGTCCGGGGGTTTCAAGTGGCCGATGGGCGTCATAAATACCATTGACAGGAATGCCAAACAGTATCTTTGCATTTTCTGATCGAAATGTAGTCCTGTGGGGTGGTTGAACAGGGACCGAGAGCTGTGAAGAGTCAGCATCATTCCGAGTATTAGAAGGTCTCGGGCGCTGCAAGACATTTTCAACAACTTACCTCGTTTACTGGGCCGTTACGCCCTTTGCATCTCAGGTCCCACAATTGCACACTACCGTCTCTACTTGACGTAGCTAGTACACTCTTGTTGTTCGTCCCAGGTTGAAATCGTACTTGCTTCAATGAGGCTACATGATTGCCGAAAATGCCAATTGTGGTCTGTGTAGTCATGTCTACCACCCTGGCGGTGGAATCTCCCGAGGCTGTTGCCAGAAATGTATCATCGTCGGTAAAGCACATGTCAATTATGGCATTAGTGTGTACACGGAAGGAGAGATATGGATCCTTGAACGCTGGTTTTCCATTCCGTCCGGACTCGAGGAGCCGCACTCGACCTTCTTCATCTCCAATCGCTGTCAGGGTATTTGCTAGTGGAAGTCAGTATCTAATGTCCTACAGGATGGCAGAGATTCAACCAAAATCTGCTTTCTATTGGAACTTACTATTACAACTTGCGACAGAAAAAGGAATACAAAGAGCTCCAGACTCTATACTGGTACATGTGTGGACATCTGAAGGTTTGCTGTAGAATGAGGATGTTTCGTCTTGCCAATCTAGAAAACAAATTAGCATACATTTTAAGCCAAAAATAATTTGTGCATATCAGTCCAGACTCAAAAAGATTTCTGTACTCACCATTGACAGGATATTCATGATGCTGGCGTAACGAGTTACCCAGACTTAACTGTAATAGACGTCCGGCAAGTCCACGATCGCTCAAGGGAACAATACGCTCTACAGGTTTCGGGGGAAGAAACGGTTCTTCGTCCTCGTCATCATACACTTCCGCCTCAACCCCCTCCAATTCTTCCAATTCCTCTATGTCCTCGGTATATAGCGTACTTCTGACGACACGCTCGCATGGAGAAGACGGGATATTCTGCGAGCTGCCCCTCGCTTTTCCACCATTGCCAGCTATGACTCCCTTTCTCTTGCTCAAGAAGGACCGCTCTGGAGATCCATCAGGGGTATGGACAAGCTTTCGTCTCTTCAGATCTCTTTCGAAGAGCAATGGGCTCTGGTTTTCTTGATTATCAGAGGAGTCCTTAGGCCGCAAGGGACTCGACTGGACAGTATTGTGGTTATTGGCAGGTGCAGTGATATCGTTCAGGGCCCGGCGCGAAGCCGTTGTCTGTCGATAGCCATGGGATCGAGGAGTGAAAAATCGATTGAATTTGCGGGGAGTGACTGAGGGATTGCGTCTCTCCTTCTGTCCATTTGCCTGCCTGGGAGGCGAACCCATTGACAGCGTATCTGACATGGCGGATGGTTGGGGAGATGAAGAAGCTTCTGAGCTATCTATGAGGATTGAGGTAGACATGTTGTTGGAGGAGTGTTTTCTGGAAGAAGGGTTGTCAAAGCATCTTACGATCTGGTGATGTTTTACTGTAGTGTACTGTATAAGGAAACACTTGGTAGGTACGGACAAGAAGTTTAAGTGGTGGAGGACAGGACGCGCTTTTACGCGATTGTGGCGGTGGTTGGCGGAAAGGTGGCTGGTGATAGATGCGGGGCGGACCTTATCTTAGCGGCTTGATCGAAAATTCCTCTGCACCAGGAAAATTAAATTTCGGGATATTTGCGACCACCAAGCATCGTCAAAGTTTGTTTTCTAGGTAGCCCTTGACTCCATCTGATATCATGGGAATCCAGAAGAAGCATGGTAAGGGTCGCTTGGACAAGTGGTATAAGTTGGCAAAAGAAAAAGGATACCGCGCCAGAGCTGCGTTCAAATTGATCCAATTGAACAAAAAGTATGGCTTCTTGGAGAAGAGCAAGGTGCTGCTTGATCTCTGTGCTGCTCCCGGGGTAAGTCAATTTACTTGAACTGTGGGACAGTTTTCTAACTTCTATCTAGTCATGGTGTCAGGTTGCTGCAGAGACTATGCCAGTGAGCAGTCTCATTGTCGGCGTTGATCTTTCTCCCATAAAGTCCATTCCTCGATGCATCACCTTCCAAAGCGATATTACCACCGATAAATGCCGAGCAACAATTCGGTCGCACTTCAAGACATGGAAAGCAGATACTGTTCTACACGATGGTGCCCCTAATGTTGGTACGGCTTGGGTTCAGGATTCTTTCAACCAGGCCGAATTGGCGCTCCAGGCTATGAAGCTGGCTACGGAATTCCTTGTTGAGGGAGGGACATTTGTGACCAAGGTCTTCAGATCCAAGGACTACAATAGTTTGCTTTGGGTGTTCAATCAACTTTTTGCGAAAGTCGAGGCTACAAAACCACCATCTTCCAGAAACGTTTCCGCCGAAATCTTCGTTGTCTGCCAAGGGTTCAAAGCGCCTAAAAGAATAGATCCCAAGTTCCTGGATCCAAAATTTGTTTTTGCGGAGTTGTCTGATCCTACACCAAACAACGAAGCAAAGGTATTCAACCCAGAGATCAAGAAGCGAAAGAGAGATGGGTACGAGGAGGGCAACTACACCCAGTTCAAGGAGGTGCCGGCTAGCGAGTTCATCAACACCACTGACCCTATCGCTATATTGGGAAGCCTGAACAAATTAAGCTTTGTACAACCACCAAATGGAGATGTGGCGCTTGCTGCTTTGGACAAGTTGCCGGAAACCACCCAAGAGATCCGGGACTGCTGCGGTGATCTTAGAGTGCTGGGCCGAAAAGAGTTCAGGAATCTCCTTAGATGGCGCTTGAGAGTGCGTGAGAAGTTCGGATTTGCTACAAAGAAGAAGACTGGTGTAGAGGAAGAGGTCGCTGAGGTGGAGTCGATGGACGAGGAATTGAAAATCCAGGAAGAATTGCAGCAACTGAGTGAGAAGGAGAAAGCCCGAAGGAAGCGAGAGAGACGAAAGGAAAATGAGAAGAAGACTAAGGAAATCACGCGAATGCAACTTCACATGACTGTCCCAACAGAAATTGGTATGGAGCAATCAGGTCCCAATGGAGAGAATTCTATGTTCGGTCTCAAGGCAATCGACAAGACAGGCGCGGTGGATAAGATCGCCAAGGGAAAGATGGCTGTTCTAAAGGAGGGTGACAAGAGGGACCAAGATAGCGGCTTTGGATCTGGGGAAACGGATGAGGAGAGTGATAACGAGGAAGACAGACTTGACAGAGATCTCGATTCTATGTACGAACAATACCAAGACCGCAAATCGAGTTCCGACGCCAAGTTCCGGGCAAAGAAGGCCAGAAAAGAGTACGAAGATGGGGATTGGGATGGGTTCTCTGCAGAGCATGAAAGTGAGGAGGATAGCGAGCTTGAGCAAGACAGTGACGATTCGTCGGATGAAGAGGCGCCATCGAAACGACCTCTGTTGACAGATCTTCAGCGCGAGGACAAGAAAGTTGGTGGACTTTCCAGACGGGCCGCACAATTCTTTGACCAAGACATTTTCAAGGATATTGGAGGGGTACCAGAAGAGGAAGAAGCTGAGGAGGCTTTGGAGGAAGGGGATGAGGAAGTTGAGGAGGATCTAGATACATTAATGATGGAAAGAGATGCTGTGGAAGAGGACTCCGAGTCTGATATTCCAGAAGCCCAGGAAGAGGAATCCGAAGAAAGCGAAGATGAGGGCGGATTTGAAGTCGTCAAACGCAGCAGCAAAGACAAACAATGGGAGGAAGAACCCCGCAAGGACGGAAGACTAGGTGAGCACTTCTAATTTCTCATATATGGGATAATACTGACATATCTAGACATCGATATCATCACCGCAGAAGCTATGACTCTTGCCCAGCAAATCGCATCCGGTCAAAAAACAATGCATGACCTATTGGATGATGGCTTCAACAAGTACGCGTTCAAAGACCGTGACGCCCTCCCGGAATGGTTCCTCGATGATGAGCACCGCCACGACAAGCCCCATCGACCCATCACGGCGGCAGGCGCTGCAGCTATCAAAGAGAAATTGCGAGCATTGAACGCTCGACCTATCAAAAAGGTCCGTGAAGCCAAGGACAGGAAGAAGTTCAAGGCCGCACAGAGACTCGAGAAGATGAGGAAGAAGTCTGCGTTGTTGCAGGATGATGAGGGCATGACAGAGAAGGAGAAGGCTTCGAATATTACAAAGCTGATGAGCAAGGCGACCAAGAAGAAGCCCAAGCAGCAGGTCAAGGTTGTTGTGGCTAGAGGTGGAAATAGGGGTATTGCTGGACGACCGAGAGGTGTTAAGGGCAAGTATAAGATTGTGGATGCGAGGTTGAAGAAGGATGTTAGGGGTGAGAAGAGGGCGGCGAAAAAGCGCAAGTGAGGGATTTGTCTAGGTAGATAATCGATATACCAATTTTTTTGCATTAGCCTTTGACCCTATACAAGTGTGGGTAGCCAGAAGGCGTGACCGTGAGGTTCCGTTGCTACTGCAGCCTTGTTTGGTAATCTAATTTGGTTCTACCATCCACCCTCGGAGCACTTCCTCCATTAATGGAGATGGGCTTGTCGTTCTGCATGGCCATAGAAGAGGAACACTTGCTGCTGTCGTCCTTAGCCTCAGACATGACCATGGCGGAAGAGTCCTACAGTACGAATATCATATACAACTCATCTCCAATGCTATCCATAGTGCTAGGGATATAGGCATAGCTATTGGCACTATTAGGTCAGTGGAGTTCAGCCTTCCCTCCTATTATCCATGGGAAGTCCCGGATCTAAGCACTTTGTCAGAGTCTCTGAGAAATATACTAGAGTTTGCTTATACTCGTCTTAATTTAGTCATTCGTGGACACCTTTCGGATCATCTGGATTTATATTATTTCCGACGAGCCCAAAAATATGAGAATATCGGCTGAACTGTTTGGTTCATTTTGTTTCATATTCGCTTCATTTATTGTTCGTACTCATTGTTCAGACAGAATCCGCTGAGGCTTAGTAAACCCAGCCAGTATCAGAGCCTTTCCAGCCATCAAAGGTACAATACGAGCACCTGAATTAGGCTTGGTTTCTGGTGTTCTGTACAGTATCTTGTTTTGGGCATGTTTGAGAAGTGAGTGTGCTTAGTAGAGCATCTTCAGAGTCGGGCATCCTGATACGCTGTAACACGCGCTGCATCCACCATTTCGCTTACGCATTATCAAACCTTCAAGTACCTATAGGTAGGTATTTATTGCGGCCCCTGCCCGTGTAACCTTATCTCACACGTGGTAGCTTATACGGGGTGGTATTTCAAAACATCACGGAATTCTGTTTCGTCTTAAGCTTCTCCTTTCCTCTCAATACCCGGCTACGTGTACGAAACTTCTCACAGGTAATATCAAGCGCTGGAAATTTTCGCATTTTATTCCACATAACGCAAGTCTAGCCGCTGTAACCTCATTCTTCATCTGCGTTTTATGTCTATCCGAGCCTGAATAGTCTACCAGGAGCGAAAGCGAGGACGGCTGTCACGTGCGGCGCTCAATGGATGATTTATTTAGCTGCTGTAACTTCGACACTTTAAATGTCCTGTCCCATCTAACACATATACGCAAGACGCTTGCCTTCCATCCTTATCCATTCTCGCATTCGTTCCGAAATGTAACACTTATTATAGCCGCTTCTCAAAGTGCCATTCGGTATTTGGAACAAACACCGAAACCCGGTGTCTCCTTTTCTGTCCAGAGCGAGCCATGGTGCCCCCGAAACAGCTGAGGGCCTGAAGTGGCTCTGTAGGACATGAAATCAAAGCTGACAATTACTTTGAAAATAACCTCATCTCACGTCCTAAGGATCTGATGCTCGTTGCATGTCCCGCACACAAAACACCAGAATAGTCTCACAAGATCTCACTTCCACAATGAATTCTCCTGTTCTGTGGGGTCGGCATACAATGGATTGGTCGAAGATGAGATGCTGGGTGGCAGTGAGAAACTATAAAGTGTCGAATGGAGCCCTTTCTGTCACTTCATTCTTCCATAACTTAAGACACTGCACATTCTCCATCTAGAGCTTTCCACCTTCCACCTTCAAAGAATCAAAACCATTTGTTATTCTATCTTCAGTCTCATCCCAATTTTCAAATATATCAAGGCCAACACCGCAATCATGCACGGAGCCGCCGCAATAGCACTTTTGCTGTTTGTCTCTTTCTGTCAAGCTGCACCAGTCGCAACTACCACAAACCCGGCAGGCGCCGCTGTCAGTACTTCTCAGGCCCCTGCGACCATTATCAGTACCTCCAAGGCTCCCGCGACCACACAAAAGGCAATCAGTAGCACTAGCGCTGCTGAGGCTCCTGCGACTACAACAAAGACAGCAGCTGCTGTCACAACCACCAAAGTCGGTACTTCTGAGGCTCCTGCGACTACAACAAAGACAGCAGCAGTAGCTGTCACTACCACCAAAGTCAGTGATACGAAGACTTCAAGTCTTTGAGGCTTCGATCCTCCACTCGTCGGATTCTAATGTTGCGCGGATTCCTTTTCGTTGTGAGTCTACACCACTCCTGCACTTACCGTAATACTTGCTAACCTGTCGATATTGTAGTGTCTTCAGTCGTTACCTAGCATAGCATAAACAGCCAAATGTCCAATAGTGAGAGCAAGAGCACCTGCGATGTTTTGTCTATGCTTTTGTAGTCGAGACACTCTTGGGCGTCGGGGAACTGTTCTTCGTTCTTTTTTATTTCTATGTTATAGAAATGCAAGTAAAGGAAATCAAATAGAACAGTAGAACGCTTTCACAACTCACTAATCAAGAGCAAACTTCAGGTGACCCCGGCTTATTGTTATTTTGACCTCAAGATTAAGAATCAACATTCTGGAATAATGCTTTTCATTTTGTTACTTGGTTGTTTTCCATCCAAAGATTTCCTTAAGATTTGGAAATAACGCTCATGGCGATACGTTCGACATCGCAACGTCCTAAGTTGCGAGAGATATTATTAGAAAAGGGGGCGGGGTAAACAAAAGGTCCAACATTTCTAAGATAGATGCGGCCTAGCGTCGTTTTGAACCTTCCTTGAGCTCAACCATCCAAACTTGACAAGTCGGCAAAGCATATATTGTAAGAGACTTGACTACTTGTCGGCTCCAAGTTCAGGACCTTGAGCTATCACTATTCCGAGACTTTATAAGTATATAAGCACGTGATCGGTGTAACACTTGGAGTTGAACCCGAGTGCCATCTCGTCTCGACTTACCGATAATACCTTCTTGCAAGAAACCCTATTGAAGTTGAAAGTCTTGAAAGTCTGAAAGAAATGAATACAAGAGGACAGATATCCTCGGAATAAATTTTTATTCCATAGATTATCATCTCAAAATACGAGGCGTTGAGTCACGTAGGAACCGGATCCAGTAGAACTAATCGAAAAGCCACTTCCGCCCGCTGCAACATCAAGCCAACGTGTCCGATTCACGAACCACCCAAAACCCACCCTCTGTTGCTAGTATGATACCTATCGTCTCATATTAGAGTTTGGGTTGAATGAAGCAAGATGAACAAGAAACACCATCTCGTGGTCTTTTCTGGCGGAAGTGCTGCAAATAACTTGGTCGATGTGTTTGGCAAGGTAGCCGATGATAAGGGGTGTTTGAGCTAGTGAGTTTGTCTTTCCTTTTGGATTTTTGTCAGAGCTGGACGAGTTGGATGGTGTGGAATGAATGTATGAATGGAAGCTGATGAGTTTGAGTGAAGCATTATTCCCATTTCAGATAATGGAGGGAGTTCGAGTGAGCTGATACGAGTATTTGGTGGACCGGGTATTGGCGATGTTAGAAGTATGTTTTGATACTTCCATTCGCTTTTGGTTTGACTTTTCTATTGTCTCAAATTCTTGACTATGAAAGTCCTCATATCTCAGGTCAATGGTCTCAAAAGTCCAAATGCTGGATGGCCAAATCACTCTTGAAACCCCCCTTTCGCGCACATATACATCACTCACTCACTTGAACCTCCCTAGGTCGCCTTGTCCGCCTCATCCCAGAAGACCCAAGCTCGCCCGAAACAACAGCCATAAAGACGTTCTTCAATCACCGCCTCCACGCCTCTCCTACAGAAGCCCGCAACGAATGGCTCGACATAGTCGAGTCCCGCCACTCGCTCTGGCAATCCATCACGTCGGAAAAGCGCGAGTTGATCCGCTCCTTCCTCAACACCATCAATCTCGAGATCGTCAAGCGTGCTCGCCCGTCCTCAGTCTTCAACTTCCAATCCGCGTCCGTGGGGAACCTGTTCCTCACCGGCGCGCGTCTGTTCACGGGGAGTTTCGAGTCGGCGATTTATCTACTGGGCGCTATTACGGGAGTTCCGAGTAACGTAAACGTGATACCAGCTATCAACAGTAATTTCTCGCATCATATATCTGCAGGATTACAAGACGGCACTATTATTACGGGTCAAAATGCCATTTCGCATCCCTCTGCCCCCTCTTCCTCCTCCGTCATACCATCCTCATCGTCGCCATCCTCTCACCCCAGTACCGAGTCCTCGCCCGAAACGCAACAGCAGCGCCGCAAGCTCTCCAAGGAACTAACAGACCACGACCTAGTCGATGACGCCAACCTGCCGGGCTCCCTGCCCACATTACGCAAGCAGTACATCACGTTCCAGAAGACGCACACGGAGGATCTAGCGTCGCGGATCGAGCGTATCTGGTACATCAACCCGTATGGGCAGGAGATGCGACCGAGTGCGAATCCGAAGGTGCTGGAGACGCTACGGGGGGCTGGGTGTGTGGTGTATAGTATTGGGAGTTTGTATACGAGTATTTTGCCGTGTTTGGTGCTGAAGGGGGTTGGGGAGGCGGTGGCGCTGGAGGAGGGGATTAAGTACAAGGTTTTGATACTTAATGGGAGTTTAGATCGGGAGACGAGGGCGGTGGGGCAGGATGGAGAGAGCAATGAATTTGGGGCGAAGGATTTCATTGCTGCTATTGCGAAGGCTTGTCATGGGTCTAGGGGATTGGGGGAGGTGAAGGAAGAAGAATGGAAGCAGTATGTTACTCATGTTATTCATTTGCAAGGGGAGGGTACGCCTAGAGTTGAGAAAGAGGAATTGAGTGCGTTAGGGATTGAGACTGTAAGAATCTATGGACGGAAGCATGAAGGGGGGGAGGGAGGAATGGTGTATGATGGAACAGCACTGGGACAGGCGTTGGAGGCTATCATGGGGAGAAGGGATCCGAGGAGTGATAAAACTCGGAGGAACACTTTGAATGTCAGCTAATAGTTTACATCCAAGGACTTGAAAATCAGAGAGGTGGATTCGTTAGAAATAGTTGACGCTGCAAAGCATTCATGTTCATTGTATAGTCCCTTTGTCGCAGAAGCCCGGTGCTGTTTGGAAAACGCCTTCCAAGATGATCTAGCTGGTATCATGCCCAAATTTCATGCGCCCCATTCCCAATCTTACGCCATGAGATACCTTGAAAGTTGGTCCCAGCAATGCCCACTACTTCGCAACTAGTTTTCCTTTCTTGTTCCTTGTCATAAGCTTCATCTCCAAGGGGAAGATACCATTTTTCGGCTGCTTCCCTTTTGATGAAATGGTTGTGCTAATCGGTGTCCTACACACGGGGCATGACTTCTTGTCGCCAGCATGAAGTGCTTGGTGTAAGCATTCGGAACAAAATAGATGACCTGTCAAATCAGTAATTGTCTCTCCCGAGGTGGGAGAGAATACAAACCACAATGAGTGACCGTCAGATCCGTAGGGTTGTCCATGCAGATGATACATTGAAATTCGGCGAGCTTGACAGGTCTCCGCGCCTCGTCTTCGTTTTGCTTTTTGATGAGCTCCGCTTGCTGCTTCGCTGCCAGCTCTCGATATTGTGACTCGTCCTCTACATTTGCGAGATCCACTACTTCAATATCCTCTAAGCTCTGCCGCCTGGAACCTGAACTATTCCCCGATGCTCGAGCTGTTCTCTTGGGGGCCCTTCCTTGGCCCGCATGTTCTGTCGCCTTTCGTTTTCGTGTAGAGACCATTTTGGCATCTGGTGAAGATGATGTAAGATCGACGACGCTGGAGCGTCGGGTTGTTGTTCGTGAAGGAACCATTTGTGCAGGCGGCGAGTGGGGCGGCGACAACCCGTGTACGAAGTCGGCGAGATCGGCAAAATCACCGTCGAAAGGGTCTGGAGATTCAGATCCAGCAATGGTATATTGTGAGAAAAGAGCTGGTGGTCGAGAAGGTCGTGCTTGCTGGTTCAGAGGTGGTGGCGCCGGCTCTTGTTGTTCCTGTGAGCGCGAGCCTGACGACGAGGCTTGCGCTTCCAGCAAGAACGGGTCGGACGATCGAAGGTGCGAGAAGAAGTCGCCGTTGTTTATGAATGAAGGGAGCTCGCCGAGGTCGTTGTCTGCGTCTGGGTTTATAGGCGGCAGAGTTAAAGAATCATAGCCGCTGCCTTCGCTGGTTCCAAACTGTGAACCCTGGCTCCAGGGCGACTGCGAGTTGGGCGGCGAGTTGTAGGGCGAAAGGCCTCTCAGGACGGGTGAATGTGACATGATAGTGGCACCATTGATTGATTTACAGGAATACTGAATATCGTGGAATGAATATCCAAAACTATACGATTATAAAAAGGCCTCATATGGCCACAAATAAACAAAGGAAAGGGAGTGAAGAGGAGGGGGGGGAAAGGAGGGGAAGACAGTTGACGTGAGGTTCTGGCTTGTTTAGTTGCTCTGTGGTCTGCGGTCTGCGGTCCGTGGTCCGCGTGTGTGGTGGAGTGAAACTATCGGCGTTTACTTTCTCGGTGTCCAAGGCAAGGAAGGGCTCTTATCGATTGGAGCCCTGCCTCGCCGTCTGTCAAGGGGGGGGGGGGGGGGGGGGCGAACACGAACTTTTAGTGGCTGGCTTGATCTATCGCGACTCTTACATTCATCGATCCGCTCCGCCCAATAATTCATTCAGCATCCCGCGCTGCATCGCATAGAATGCTCCAAGACTCATCATTTATGCTTTAACAACTTCTTTTCGCCCATAGCATGCTTCTTTCAACACGCGCTGGTCGTTCGAGCAGGCCTTGCGCAGCCTTCGTTCGGCTTGCAAAGCACCGGGCGCATCGTCGTCAAGATACTTCTCATATTTCACCACATTGGAGATACTACGCCACAGAGGGAGTTGGTGCGGAAGACTCGGCCTCTGATCCTGGATTACTCCTAAGTAAGCATTACTTATACGCTTCTAAATGTAAATGGGCACCTCTAACAACTTATAGAAAACTCAAAAGCGAGGTTCAATGAAATAGGGGTTCAGCAACTAAGCAGCCATGTCTACTCCCAAATCTTTCCCGATAGCTGTACACCACCCCCAAAAGAACTTGTAGACCTCTCAAAGGACCATCTTCGGCGGCATGAGCTATTAGGAAAGAACACTGACAACACTCCTCCAATTTCCTTCGACCTCCCCGAATTACAAGGACGAACGCTCGACGAACACTTTCACAAACTCGGAGTCGACGCCGCAGAGCCTTTTCTATCACAAGCAAAACAGTTTACAAGATCAAATCCCCCTCCAAAGCCACGGAAATGGGTTCGAAGGAGTGGATGGACGAAATACTATGCAGATGGTCGGACAGAGGCAGTGGATGCGCCTCAGGAGGAGATGCTGTGTTTTGATACGGAAGTAATGTGGAAGGAGAGTTCATTCGCGGTCATGGCATGTGCAGTCAGTCCTACGAATTGGTATGCTTGGTTATCGCCCTGGTTGCTGGGAGAAAGCGAGAACGATCGACACTTGATACCTCTAGGAGATCCAAACCAAGCTCGAATCATTGTGGGACACAATATTGGCTACGATAGGGCGAGGATTGCGGAGGAGTATGACTTGCAACAGACCAAAAACAATTTTCTCGATACGATGTCCTTACATGTGGCTGTCAATGGAATGTGCTCACGGCAGAGACCTACTTGGATGAAGCACAGGAAAAATCGGGAATTGAGGGACAAGATTGCCAGTGAGACGGACAATGCTGAATTGTCGGCCTTGTTAGGAAATAAGGCTTTGACTGAGGAGGAAGAGGAGTTGTGGGTGGGTCGAAGTTCTGTCAATTCGCTGCGGGACGTTGCGAAATTCCATCTAGACATTACGATCGACAAGGCGCAAAGGGACCAATTTGGAGAGCTAGATCGAGCCGGAGTACGAGCGAAGCTTGATGAGCTTCTAGATTACTGCGCCGCTGATGTTTCTGTCACACACCGGGTGTACAAGATTGTGTTTCCGAATTTCCTGGAGACATGTCCTCATCCTGTGAGTTTTGCGGCTCTACGGCATCTATCGTCCGTCATACTTCCGGTGGATAAGTCGTGGGAGGCATATATCGCAAATGCAGAGGCGACATATCACAAGTTATCAGATGCCGTCCAAGAAAGACTTATTGCACTGACTGAGAAGGCATTGGATATTAAAGGCCACGAAGAGAAATGGAGCAACGATCCTTGGCTCCGGCAGATGGATTGGTCTGGCCAGGAAGTCAGGATGGTGAAGGGAAAGAAAAAGAATGATCCTCCTCGACCAGCAGCTAGGCAGAAGATGCCGGGGATGCCACAATGGTACAAGGATCTGTTCAGCAAGAAGGATGGACCGATCGGACTGTCTGTACGGACAAGAGTTGCTCCTTTACTTCTTCGGTTACAATGGGATGGAAACCCATTAGTCTGGTCTGATCAGTATGGATGGACTTTCAAAGTGCCAGTTGCAGATGCCCATAAGTACAAAGAGAAGCAGATGCAGGAGTGCACTGCGTTTGACGAGAAAGACATCACATTGAGAGACGACAGAAGTAGCGTATACTTCAAATTGCCCCATAAAGATGGACCTACTGCACGTTGTGCGAATCCAATGGCGAAGAGTTACATGGCCTATTTCGAACAGGGCATTTTATCCTCCGAATTCACATACGCAAAGGAAGCTCTGGAGATGAATGCTTCTTGTTCGTATTGGATCAGCGCAAGAGATCGAATCATGTCTCAGATGGTCGTGTATGAGAGTGATGGTGCAAAGGGATCAGAGAAGAAATCGGATTCGGAAACAGGATATATTTTGCCTCAAGTGATTCCGATGGGGACTGTCACTCGAAGAGCAGTGGAAAATACATGGCTCACAGCAAGCAATGCCAAGGTCAACCGTGTAGGGTCAGAACTCAAATCGATGGTTAGGGCTCCTCCTGGCTATTGCTTTGTTGGCGCAGATGTGGATTCGGAGGAACTCTGGATCGCAAGTCTTATCGGTGATGCTCAATTCAGAATCCATGGAGGCAATGCAGTTGGCTTCATGACTTTGGAAGGAACCAAAGCAGCTGGGACAGATTTGCACTCGCGGACTGCGCAAATTCTGGGAATTACTAGGAATGATGCCAAGGTATTCAATTATGGTCGGATATACGGAGCTGGTCTCAAATTCGCATCCACTCTACTGCGACAGTTTAACCCGGGTCTCTCTGAAACGGAGACGACCAAGGTTGCTTCTAATCTTTACCGCGCGACGAAGGGTGTAAAGACGAACAGGAAGACACTACACAAAAAACCATTCTGGCGCGGTGGAACAGAGAGCTTCGTCTTCAACAAGCTCGAGGAATTTGCAGAACAGGAACGGCCTCGTACCCCAGTTCTAGGAGCCGGTATCACAGAAGCACTAATGAGTCGCTTCGTCAACCAAGGGGGTTTCATGACCTCCCGAATCAACTGGGCTATCCAATCTTCTGGCGTCGACTACCTTCACCTCATCATAGTCGCCATGGACTACCTGATCCGCCGCTTCAACATCAAAGCCCGGCTCGCCATCACCGTGCATGATGAAATTCGTTACCTAGTCAAAGAAGAAGATAAATATCGCGCCGCCATGGCCCTCCAAATCGGCAACGTCTGGACACGAGCCATGTTCTCGCAACAGGTCGGAATTAATGACCTTCCCCAAGCATGCGCCTACTTCTCTGCTGTCGACATCGACCACGTGCTCCGAAAAGAAGTAGACATGGACTGTATAACACCCTCCAACCACACTAAAATCCCGCATGGCGAATCACTCGACATCAACACACTCCTCACAAAACCAAACTCTCTCCTCGATCCTTCTATCGTCTCCACAGATCCTACAAACCTAGACAACATCGCCTATACCCCTCGTATCCCAGTCATGGAAACCCTCTCCTCCAACACGTCGCCCTCTTTCCTCAAAGCGCAAATCACAGCCGACGATAAGGAACTCCGTGAGATTATTAAAGATCAAAAGGCCCTCGAAACGCCTACCGTCACGGTACCAAAAACAAGACGCACGACAAAGCGAGGCGATATACAACCCTACCAGGCACAAGCAGCACTAATGGAGCAGCCAATGATTGTGTCCGAGCTACTAGGGAACAAGTTCAAGAGTAGTTTTGATAGTGGCAAGAACAAAAATTGGGGCTGGGAACGGAGTATGCCAATTCGTGGTGGGTCGAGACCTGCTCCTAGGTGGTGATTAATACCTTATTGATTGTTTTGTTATTTATGTATGATGCGACGGCTTACTTGAGATACTCCTCTTCCTTTTGTACCATTTTTGTGCGACTATGTATGGATATTGTACTGTTTCACTGTGGAAGTTGGGTATCGGTTCTTGGTTTTTGGGGGAAATGAAAGGATGCATCGCGAGGCGCTTAGCGGGTGGATTGTACTGCTTACGTGTGTATGTTATGTACAGATCTAAGTCCTTGCAAGATAGGAGGGGGAAAAGTCATCTAAAATAATAATATTTCTATGAAATCAGGGTTCTCTTTTTATACGCTCTCGTATTATGCATTGCAACGTTTCGGAAACACGGTCTGTGAATTAATTACTCTTTGCTTGAATGCTTGTCAACTCTTAAGACGTCTTCTCTCTAGCGAGATATTCTGCAATAGACATCTCACTCTGCACTCACATCACCGAATTTTCTACTACTCATAAATCAATCCCCTAAATCCCGATATTATACGGCTATACTAAAGAGATCCGCCGTCCTGGATGCTTCATCTACAGTACAACAGACCTATTTCTTAACAGGAGCCTTGGGGTTGCAGTCAATCACATCACTAAAGCCAATAAATGTTATTCTAGAGGTGTTATTTACTAGCTATTATATTGTACCCGAGTATTGTATTTGTATTATATTGGTTTTCGTCTCTATCTCTATCTCTGTCTATCTAGAAGAAACTCCACCCGCACGCACTTTCAGCCACACATCATTGCTATTACCACCCTTCTGCCAGCCGATCATGCATGCATCCCATCCCATTGGATTCAGCCCCTTTCCCTCTCACTCACAAGTCACATCTCGGTCGCAACTTGTAAGATATCATCTCATCTCATCCTCCCAAATACCTATCTATCCGTCAAACACCACTTGCCCTCTTTCTCCCCTGTACAATTCTGCATGTTCTCTTCTCGTACCTCCTGACCTCCTTCCTTCCTTCCAATCAAGCAAGCTACAAAGATACTGCTTATTCCTTATTTCTTATTCCATATTGCCTTATTCCTTAACCCAATAAGCACCCTTCCTCTCAGGCAAAGCCAGGAAATCAGGCTGCCACCCGCTCTCGTCTTTCGATAGCCCAAACATGCGCTTCATAGTCGTTACCATGTCGATCAGCGCTTGGCGGGGAAACGAATCCGCGTTCGCGGTGCCGTCATCTGAGTCTGTGATCCACTGGGAGAGGAAAGGTTAGTCAGTCAGTATGCATGCCTCATTTCACAGTTGATAGACGTCTGTTTTCGCAAAATGAAAAATAAAAATAAGGAGGAGGAGGAGGAGGAGGAATAAAGTAGGATACTAAAGAGAGAGAGGGAATAGCACAGGACAGGAAAACGAAACCATACACATACACATACCTCATCATCCAAATACCACGCACACTGCTCGACCAACAAATTTCTCAGTCCACACCCCCCACCATACTCCCGCGTATTCTCATACACCCACTCCAGCATACACGTCTCGATAACACTACTCTCCCGCCGCGCCATCTCCAGCGCAACAATGCACTCGTTCTGGCAGGCCGGGGCGCCTAGACGGCCTGCGAGCACCCAGAGCTGCACCAGCGTTTCGGTGGAAATGTGTGAGTTGGGAGGTGGGAATGGTGGCGCTGTGACCAGGTTTGTTCCAACATTACCGCTGCCCCCGCCGCCGCGGTATAGCCATTCGATGAAGGCGCTGAATGCTTCTTTACTCGTGGTGCCTGCTTGTGCTGGGAGTGGGATTGTGGGGAACTTGCCGGCGCAAACAGGGAGTCGGATTATGACATTGAGGTCCACCTCTTCCTTCTCCTTCTCCTCACTCACATCATCATCCTCCCCAAAATCCAATTCATTCCTA